ATGCATGCCCAGAATCCCAAGAGGAGAATAAAGGAGAAGGGATTGCAGCATGGCCATTCACCCTGGGCGGGGCCCTGGCGTGGGCGTGGTTTGTGGGTACTGGGCGGAGAGTAGGGCGGGCCTAAGTGGGAATTGGGTGAGGGCAGGCTAGGTGAGAGCTGGGGCTGGCAGGGCTGGAGCAGGCTGGAGGGAGCTGGGTCGGGGGAACTCCTGGAGCTTGGGGTGGCTGGCCTGGTCGGATTGTACTGGGAAGACCCTGTTCCCCCCAGGGGGCAGGACGGGGTGTGTCTCTATTTGCTGGGAGCTCACCAGGAAAGCCGGGTCAGGAACTCTGACCAGATTTGGGGAAGTGAGAGAATACTTCCTTGGAGGAGCTGAAATGCAAGGAAAAGGTGCCTGTGCATTAGGGGAATGGAGCAGGAAGAGGGAGCAGCACGTGCCAGGGGAGTAATGGCAGGAAGCAGAGGAGTCTGGGATGGGACTGTGGAAGAGGAGGAGGAAGATGACAGTACTGGCTGCTAACTCGATCCAGCCAGAGTTGACTACCGTGCTGACCAGCGTTCATATTACTCCCGGCAGCCTGGTGAAGTGGGTGCTGTCAGAATCAGATAGAACAGGCACCAGCAGTTGGTGTAATGGCTATGTCGCTGGACTCCCATATAGTTGACTGCGGTTTGAGTCCTGGACCTGGTGGCTTAAACTCACACCTGGCACGTGTATGTGCGTACCCAGGATCCTGAGAGGAGAATGGAGGGCCATCCTGGCCATCCCCCCAGGGGGTTGATTTCTTGCTGGGGAGTGCATGCCCCTATAGCAAAAACCTTTCAAAAAAAAAAGAATCTGGTAGAACAATGGGTCACATCTGCCTTACAAAGCAGTTTTGAAAGGTTCACCCTAGTGTCTCCATTCAACAGAGGAGAACTGAGCGGAGAGGTAAAGTCATGTGAAGCCAGGGCAGAGGAGGAGGCTGTATGTCCCACCGAGGGCTTGACCTCTTGTAGATCATGGATCGTGGATCGAGGATCGGCTGAGAGGAAGCAGCAGCAGGGTGTGGAGGGCCTGGTGGAGCTAGGCAGCATGGACTTCACTCTAGGCAGTGGGGAGCCACTGACGGTTCTTAGGTTTTTATGCAGGGAGGGCAATGCTCAGATTGGGTTTAGAAAGTGGAGTCTGGCTGTGAGGGGAAGACTGGGCCGGTAGGACAAGCTCAGAAGCAGGAAGGTGGTGGCCTGGGCAAGGCAGTGGCAGTGGGTCTGGAGGGAGGTGGGGGCAGATCTGGGGTACACCCAAGAAGAAGGCACAGGGCCCAGTGCTGGATAGGGTGGGGGAGGACTCCCAGGCACACTGGGGCCCCCAGCAGTGTCAGGGGACTGAGCTGCCCGGTGCCCTCCTTTTTTTAACCGCTCTCTCCAGAGACTTCTACGACCAGGACCCGTACCCACCCCCACCCCGCCCACCCCCAGCTCAGTCCCTGCCTTGCCCCATCTCTCCCTCCTTTTCTCAGGACTGCCCAAGAATTGTGGAGCCGGTGAGCCTCCCCAGGCTCCAGCTGCACTCTGCATATCTCCAGTTATTATGATGTTATTAAATTTATTTTTTCATTTTAAAAGTAATATTAGAAAAGTAATATAAGCATATTAAGGGAAATTTAGAAAAGAGAGAAACTAGGGGAAAAATATGCTCATAATCCTTCGCTTCCAACCCAGCAGCTTAGAGACTCTTCTGGCCCATACCCTTCCGTTTCTGGATGTTTCATTTGCTTTTTAATATGTGCCTGTGTTTTGTTGAGCCTGTGCTTGGGCCGTGTGTATGAGTTAAGTTGCTTTTCCTACTCAGCATTCTATCACAAGTATTGTTTTTATTATTATTATTATTATTATAAGGTAACATACAGTCATTATAGAAAATTTAAAAATTGCAGACACGCTGAAAGGAGAAAAAAATTAGCTTTAGTCCTACTATTGTTAAAACTTGTATATGTTTTCTCTATAATTTATTTTATTTATTCTTTAATAACAGATGTAAAAAGTGGATGAATTCACCAGGTAAAAGATTCAAATAATATAGAAATAGACATAGTATGAACATCTCCTTTATCGAAAAAAACTTCCCACTCTCTAGAGAGAACCGCAGTAGCAGTCTGGCGTGTCTCTGCTCAGATCCATCACTCTGCATTTGCACACACGGATCACCCGTGTACACGTACAGGATTACTGCTCAGATCCATCACTCTGCCTTTACACACATGGATCACCCGTGTACGCGTACAGCATTTCTGCTCAGATCCATCACTCTGCATTTGCACACACGGATCACCCATGTACACGTACAGCATTACTGCTCAGATCCATCACTCTGCATTTGCACACACGGATCACCCGCAGATCACCCGTGTACGTGTACAGCATTTCTCCTCAGATCCATCGCTCCGCATTTGCACACATGAATCACCCGTGTACGTGTACAGCATTTCTACTCAAATCCATCGCTCTGCATTTATGCACATGGGTCACCCGTGTACACGTACAGCACTTCTGCTCAGATCCATCACTCTGCATTTACACACACGGGTCACCTATGTACGCGTACAACATTTCTGCTCAGATCCATCGCTCTGCATTTACGCACACGGGTCACCCGTGTACACGTACAGCACTTCTGCTCAGATCCATCGCTCTGCATTTACGCACACGGGTCACCCGTGTACACGTACAGCACTTCTACTCAGATCCATCACTCTGCATTTACACAGACAGATCACCCGTGTACGCGTACAGCATTTCTGCTCAGATCCATCGCTCTGCATTTGCACACACGGATCACCCGTGTACACGTACAGCATTTCTGCTCAGGTGCATCACTCTGCATTTGCACACATGAATCACCCGTGTACATGTATAGCATTTCTGCTCGGATCCATCACTATGCGTTTACATACATGGATTGCCCGTGTACATGTACGGTGTTTCTGCTTGGATCCGTTGCTCTGCATTTGCACACATGAATCACCCGTGTACATGTATAGCATTTCTGCTCGGATCCATCACTATGCGTTTACATACATGGATTGCCCGTGTACATGTACGGTGTTTCTGCTTGGATCCGTTGCTCTGCATTTGCACACACGGATCACCCGTGTACGTGTACAGCATTTCTGCTAGATCCATCACTGCATTTGCACACATGAATCACCCGTGTACATGTATAGCATTTCTGCTCGGATCCATCACTATGCGTTTACATACATGGATTGCCCGTGTACATGTACTGTGTTTCTGCTTGGATCCGTTGCTCTGCATTTGCACACACGGATCACCTGTGTACACGTATCGCGTTTGAATGTGTGTGCTTTAGACTAGATGGGTTCCTAATACTTGATTCACTTTTTAACCTGACAGCACGTTTTGGCCTTCTGACTCTGGCACTGAATCACAGCAGTCTTGTCTTAGTGGCCGTGTAGACCTCTATAATGAGGACAAAACTCCCTCCGGCTACACAGCCCCCACCGAGGACAGACATGTTGTATCCAGTGTTGTCATGGCCACAGTGTCGTGTGGAAGGCCCGTGTCCACAGCTCTTTGTGCTCGCGTATAAATGTTTCCTTCTGGTAGATTTCCAGAGATAGAACTGCTTTGTTAGATGTTGTGTGTGTCTAACATTTAATGGTATTGTCAAGCCATCCTCTGCTAAGGCTCCATCACTGTACGCCCCATCAGTGATGCTACAGAGCATACCTTGCCCACTCGGGAGAGTATCTTTCTTTTAAAAGTTTGTTATTGTTTATTTTATTTATTTATTTTGTGCGTATACTTGACAGGGAGACAGAGAGACAGAAAGCCAGAAATCACCCCCCAGGGAGGAAGGCCATGCTGCAATTTCTTCTCCTCTATTCTCCTCTCGGGATTTTGGGCATGCACGCACACGCGCGCCTCCGAGTCTGGGAGTCGAACTGCAGTTGACTATGTGGGAGTCCAGTGACATAACCATTATGCCATCTGCTGGTCCCATAAGTTTATTTTTATTTCTTCCATGAGAAAGGGAGACAGAAGAGAGAGAAGCAGGCAGGCACCCCCCACAGGGTCTATGTCGCGCTCAGCCCTGGCGCCAGATCATGAGCATCAGGTGACGCCAGGATGTGAGCCCGGGCCTGACCACGTGGCGTGTGCATCACACAGAGCCGTGCTGCACTGAGTCACGGGGCTGGCCAGCACACACTTTGTCAGTGCACATATTTTTGTTTTTAAAGAAAAACATTGTTTGGAACACAGGACAGGAACCTTTTCCTCTTTCTTTCTACTTAACTTGATACTGTAAATGTTTCTAGTCCTCTCCCCTTTAAAAGAGTAACTTTTGTTACAGGAGTTTCAAGAAGTTCATTGTCAAAGAACCTGAAAATATAGGAGGCCTGCTGATATTCGAACCACTCCTCCTCCTACTGCGCATAGCATGTTGGCCGTCCTGTGTGGCTTTAAATAACAAACACAACCTTTTAAACAGGCAGTTCAGTACTGTTTTCTGAGCCCTTCCCAAATGCTCTGTATTTCAGTTGCTTCTCATTTTTTTGCTATTATAAATAACACAGTAGTGAACAACTTTTTTTTTTTTTTTGAGAGGTTTTTGCTATAGGGCGCGTGCACTCGCCAGACAGACAGAGAGAGACAGAGAGCCAGAAAGCGAGAAATCACCCCCCAGGGGGTATTGCCACGCCACGATCCCTTCTCCTCCATTCTCCTCTCGGGATCTTGGGCACGCCCACACACGCGCCTGCCGTGAGTTTAAGCCACCGGATCCGGGACTCGAACCGCGGTCAACTACATGGGAGTCCAGCGACATAGCCATTATGCCAACTGCTGTTCCCAACACAGGAGGGAACATCTTTGTGCCTCGGTCTTTTTCTGTGCCTTGAATATCCCCGAAGCACCTCTGCCACCGAACTCCATTTAGCCTTGAAGCACCTGAGGAGTTTATACCAGTTACCCCTAGGGAATAATTTATGGATGGGAAAGAGAAGCTCAGAGTGGCAGGGGCCTGGCAAAGTCACAGGCCCATATGGGCCAAGCTCGCCTCTGTCACGCCCTCACCCCCGCCCCAACCTGCTGTCTTCATAGGTCTGGGCCTCTCCTCCCGGACCCCGGCTGTGAGCACGTCGGAGTCAAGCGCGGGCACGGGCACCAGCACCCCGTCCACGCCCACCACCACCAGCCAGAGCCGCCTCATCGCCTCGTCCCCCACCCTCATCTCAGGGATCACCAGCCCCCCACTCCTGGACTCCATCAAGACAATCCAGGGCCACGGCCTGCTTGGCCCCCCCAAGTCTGAACGCGGCCGCAAAAAGATCAAGGCGGAGAACCCGGGGGGTCCACCAGTCCTCGTTGTCCCCTACCCCATCCTTGCCTCCGGAGAGACTGCCAAGGAGGGGAAGACATACAGGTGAGGGTCTCGGGGCCCAGCTGGGGTGGGCTTTGGGCAGGGCCTGTGCCTAGGGCCGCCCGAGGGCAGAAAGCAGGGGCTGAGGTCCAGAGGGGTGGGTCTCCTGGCAAGTCCCGCCTCCTAGGCAGGGTGTGACGGAGGGGGAATAGAGCCTTGGCCCTCCAGGGCTGGCCTGTGGTGGGCAGCCCCATTGCCCTGCCGGCCTCGGGTGGCGAGGTCCATTTCCTCCTCTGAAGCAGTCCTGGCCCGGCAGACCCGTCTGAAGGGCTTTCAGAAATGCCGTGCCAGGCCTGCAGCCCCAGAGGTGGCGTTACCTTGCTGGGTGGGGGGCACGGGTGAGCCGGGCATGGGGACTTCTCTAGAGCCCCCCAGGTACTGTAATGTACAGCTGGGGGCGCTGGAGCATCCTCCCCCAGAACCATGGGGCGTGGCGCTGAGGGGCGTGAGCAGACCGGGGCTGGGTGTGAACGGCCTCTTGCCTGCAGGTGTAAGGTATGCCCGCTGACCTTCTTCACCAAGTCCGAGATGCAGATCCACTCCAAGTCGCACACGGAGGCCAAGCCCCACAAGTGCCCGCACTGCTCCAAGTCCTTTGCCAACGCCTCCTACCTGGCCCAGCACCTGCGTATCCACCTTGGTGTCAAGCCCTACCACTGCTCCTACTGTGACAAGTCCTTCCGGCAGCTCTCCCACCTCCAGCAGCACACCAGGTGAGCAGCCCAGGCCACCCTGTGCAGCCTCTCAGGTGAGCAGGCCCAGGGCCGCCCTGTGCAGCTCTCAGGTGAGCCCGCCCGGGGCCGTCCTGCGCAGCCTCTTAGGTGAGCAGGCCCAGGGCCACCCTGCGCAGCCTCTCAGGTGAGAGTGGC